CATACACACACGCACGCACGTACGCACACACACACACATAACAGCCTCACTGATGACCTTAATTAGTACGACTTCAACATCTCCAGCGCTGCTCAGGTGAGAAGTCTCTGGAGCTTTTCATTAACCCTATCCGTACTTCGTGTTTTACTATCGTATCCATATGATGTGAGGAACTCTGTGCCACCACTTTCCAATGAGGAAATTTACTCGTTAATCCGATCCGTACTCTTTGCATAGCCGTCTGTCAAAATGGTTTTTGGAGAAATACTGAAAGTTTCATAGTGATCTTTGAACTAGAAGTATTCTAAAATGTGAAGAATACAACCCCGGGGGTACTAAATGACCTCGAGGCGTACGGAGAGGGTTACATAACTTGTGTCAGTGTCAGCCACAATGACATGGTCTGTGTCGTTTCCGTTTTTTCCCACCCCCCCCCCCACTTTCTGCCAGAACGACACAAAGAGAGTGTCCTTTTCACCTTCTTTAATTAAATAGGATATTCCTCCGGAGGTTTTTATTTAATAGCTGGTGTCAGCCTCTAATCTGTAACAAAGAAAGATACAGAAGGTAATTTTTACCGTCATCCATCAAACCTCCATCTTAATCATCTTGTTTTAAGTATTCATATGACCTTAGAGCATGCATCAGAATACCATTGAGTTACAATCACAATACTGAGTATGTATCCAACTTAACATGATTATTGTTTATATTACTGTTCATTTATGTTATGTATGTGACTGTAAGCCTGTTTGTGAGCGCAAGCATACTGCGTGTGTGTGCATATGTATGTGAGTGTGTGTGTGTGTGTGTGTGTGTGTGTGTGTGTGTGTGTGTGTGTGTGTATGTGTGTGCGCGTGTTTGTGTGCGCGCGTGTGTGTGTGTGTGTGTGCTTATGTGTGTATATGTGTACATGGTGAAACACCAAGCCAAAGTGCCAGGATCTGGACAATAAAGATGTATCTTATCTTATCTTATCTTACTTTATTTTTCCACAGGGATCATTCTCAGGCCAAGATGTAAAAAGCGGCTCAAGTGTTCCAGGATCGGAAGAAAGCCAGGTGGGTCTGTAGAATCATCTTCTGTCTCAGCTCTAGTGAGTTTCACAATGGAGGAAGATTAATAACTTGAATGGGAAACAGGTTTATTTTCAACTCTTTCCTCACTTCGTCCAGGTGTGAATGGGTACCGGACTCGTAATTGTGAGGTTTGAGCAGCAGGCCTGACCTTGTGTCCTTGGGAAAGGCATGTTACACGAATTTTCCTCACTTCACCCAGGTGGGAATGGGTACCCGGCCATAGACTGCGAAAGATCTTGTCAGTATGTCAGTGTTTTAGTACTTATAAATAGCAGCTTGCTCTGTATGCTTCCCAGGAAGCTGAGGTTGTTTCAGAGTGCTCTCAGGTCTGCTGGGGCAATAGTATAGATTGTAAAGCGCATGGAGCTTGCTGTTGAGTGGGGATTTGCGCTATACAAATGCTATCTATTATTACCCAGTAATGGTGTGGTGGAAATGTTAACAGGGGGTGACACGTCTTGTTTCCACTGCTGTCCTTACAAGTATATGATTAATGTATGGCTGAGAAAGTTCTTCTTTGTGTGGTTGAACTGGGTTTTTTTTTGTTGTTAATGTAAAATGTTGTTAATCTTGTGTAAATGAAGCATCATGCTCAGTGATCATGTCATCGATGTAAAGCTCATCATTAGATGAAGAATGAAGATCTATCGAAATAGGTCAGTTATCTTGATTTAATGACCATTTTATTGACATATGTGACATATATGTCAAGAGGTGGGTGGTTGGCGGGTGCTCTGGTCTGGTTTGCTCCTTCTTTCCTATCAAACATCTATCGTCCTTATCTCTCCTCCTTCTTTTTTGTGTTTGTTACTCTCTTGTAACACTTCTAATCTTTTGCACTCATATGACCTTGCGTTGCAAGTGCTGTAAAACTCTTACTAAAACTAAAAGAGGTTTACACCCCCCCCCCGGAGACAAAGAGTTAATGTTATTGTTATGATGGATGTCCTGCAGTTATTTCATCGGCAGTCATTTCATAACGTGTTGTTCCAGGACCTTTTTGATCTCATCCAGCCAGGTATTTCTTGGTCTTTCTCTTGATTTGAAGTCAGATGCACGGATCTGATAGTGGGTGGTTGGCGGATGCTCTAGTGTGGTTTGCTTCTTCTTTCCTATCAAACATCTATCGTCCTTATTTCTCCTTCTTCTTTTTATGTTTGTTACTCTTTTGTAACACCTCTAATCTTCTGGCGCTCATATGACCTTATGAAGTTGCGAGCACCGTAATACCTCTACTAAAACTACTAAATGAATGTGATAAGCTCTTGCTGCTGGCTGTAACCAGAATGCCCTAGAAACAACCAACAGCCAGAGCTTATCACACTCGTGAATCACCCCCCGGGGCAGTGCCACTGACTGAAGTGTCTTTAGGCCATTCCCAAAGGGGGGACATTTCTCGTTCAAGCAGAGTAGAATTGTAATTGTGCTGACTCATGTCACGCTCATAACTGCTTGATCTACAACAGGGAACTGCTGCTTTTTCTTTCCTGATCCTTACTATTGTCATTTTCCTGTACTTCCTTTGTATGTTTGTCACTCTCTTGTGACCTGCTATTTTGGGGTGCCTTGATAGTCGAAGCAGACCTTGTGCTGTTGAAGCTAGAGAGGTGAGCAGTCTAAGTCTGATTCCCTGTAAAGATTTCTCTGTTGACACCCACCCCTTGGCGCTCATATGACCTTATGCAGTTGCGAGCGCCGTAAAACCCTCTACTATAAAAAAAAACACTCTTGAATCTGGCTTCCAATCAAGAGGAAGACCAAAAAAGACCTGGCTGGATGGGGTTTGAAAAGGTCCCTGGAGCAGCAAGCTATATCAACCACACACGCCACACACTTAGCGCAGGAAGGAAACCTGCACCTCCCCACAACAACCTAAAGGTACCAGAGGAAGGAAAAAGTAAAGCGAGTATGCTTCTTTTAGTACTTCAAAAGGGTATGTTTTTAAGTGTTAGAATTTTGTTTTAGTTTTAGGAAGGTTTTTCGGCGCTCGCAACTGCATACGGTCATATGAGCACCACCCGTCTGCTGGGACATTTTAGTAACCCACTTTCAGCACTTTTTAAGGACCCCCGGGCAAGTGTTGAGTTCCTGCGAGCTGTCGGCATCGCTGACCGTTTATGAAGCCGCAGCGCCAGAAGAGAGAGCGATATGAGCACCAGAATGGGCAAAATGATCTTGTTACGGCGTATGTCCTGAAGTTGTTTCATTGGTGATCATTTCATTCCATTCCAGCTGTCGGAGCCTGGAGTCTCCGGTGACTACATGGAGCTGGAGATGGACTCTCTGAACCAACATGAGTGTATGGCTCCTCTGATTGCTCTCTTACGGCACATGGTGGCCACCAAAATTTCCCCAGAGCCGACTGCCGTAAGTGTGTTTAGAAAAGCAAATGTGTGGCATCGTGATGAAATCAGGTGCTCGTCGAAATAACAAAATTGGAGAAAAAAAGGCATTTTTTCACCAGTTTTGCAATTTTTATCTAATTTTTGTTTTTTTGTTCCTCCCTTTTATATCTAAATAAAAACACATTTCCATGTGAATTATATTGAAAAACGTTGATTAAAAGCTCAAAAAATGTAATTTTTCAGTTTTCAAGGACTTTAGCTATTGAAATTACCAAATTTTGGCGGCCATTTTCTCGCTATTTTTACCCCTGAAACCAAGTTAACTTACCTATTTCAATCACAAAAATCTTCACTTCTGCTCAAGATAGAAGGGTATTTTTAAAATCAAAATCAAGATAAATGAAAAAGCTTTAAGATGATACCAATAACCCCACATGCACAAAAATTTACGAGCGCCTGATTCCACCGCATCATGACACAAATGAGAAAGTGTGATATCAATTATAATAAACATAAAGATCTCCTGTATAGCGCCCACTCGCTTGTAGGTGTAGGTGCTTCGCAATAAAAAACGATTTAAATCGTTTCATGTATATTGGCCTATTCGACATACAGCAATCCTTTGAAATACACATACACCTGCAATGTGAAAAAGAACACATACTCACACAGACAATCTCTCTCTCTCTCTCTCTCTCTCTCTCTCTCTCTTCTGGCGCTGTGGCCACACAGACAATCACAGTTGCTACTGATCACATTTGTATTGGTAGATGTATCAAACTGGTTCATGAAATGGGATTTAAATAAATGTGTCTTTAGACCCCGAAAATTTGGTCAAAATAGGTGTCTCTTAAATAGAGTGGGAGGGAATTCCACACTGCGAGAGCAGTCGTTGAAAAAGTCGCACCTCCGATTATTTAAGTTTTCTATGGCACAGTCACAGTAAACAGGGAAGTGCTGCTCCTGGGTGTTCCGGGCTATCTTGGATTTTGCAGAAAGGAAAAACCCTCAAGCTTTTGGGTTGATGTCTATAACTGTAGTCTGATACACACGTAGGGAACACGCACATAAGGAATGTCCATTTAAAAACACATTCCTCTATGGATTTTTCTGGAATGCATTGATAAAATGCAGGAAAAAAAATTTAAATTTACAGCTTACGAAGATACTCAAGATTTGGAAGTCACCATTGTTTGGCAGCCATTTTCTCGTTAATTTTACATTGACACTTGGCTACCCCCCTCACCTCATTCAGTTGCAAATATCTTGAATTTTATTAAAAGTAGATGGGTATTTAAAAAAAAAAATCAAAAGCAAGGCTTTAAGATTATACCAATAATTCCTCGTACCCCAAAGTTGATAAACACCTGACAATCCTTTGTAACTGAACACACAGTGCTACAAATGAAGCACAGAGAGAGAGAGACACAGAGAGAGAGAGAGAGAGAGAGAGAGAGAGAGAGAGAGAGAC